AAAAAACGAAAAATTGTAGGGTATAAAGTCGAGAAAATGAAAATTTAAAAAAAAAACGGGAAATGAAAAATAAAAATCAAGATTTTGAAAAATTGAGGAAACAACAATTTGAAAAAAAAATCAATAAATAATAAAATTGAGAAACTGAAAAATCGGAAAAATCATAAAATCGTAGTAACGAAAATTTGCAGAATTGAAAAAGTTGGAAGTCGGGAAACTAAAAATTGAAAAAGGGCAAACTTGAAACAAGGAAATATTGCAAAATCGAAGTATCGAAGGTTAAAAAAATCGCAAAATCGGATAATTCAGAAATTCAAAAATTGCAAAATTAAAAATTGGAAAATGGAGGCATTGAAAAATCAAAAATTGAAAATTGGAAAATTGAATCAACGAGAAATTATAAAATCCAAAGAAACATTGAAAAAATAAAGGAAATGAAAAGACGAAAAGTGGTATATGAAGTTGAGAAAATGAAAATTTAAAAAAAAAATCGGGAAATGAAAAAACAAAAATTAAGATCTTGAAATATTCATGAAACGAAAATTTGAAAATTCAATAAATTATAAAATTGAGAAACTAAAAAATCCGAAAAATGATAAAATTGTAATATCGAAAAATTGCAGAACTGAAAAATTTGGAAGTCGAAAAACAGAAAAATTGAACAAGGGCACAATTAAAAAAACGCAATATTGTAAAATCGATATATTGAACATTAAAAAAAAATCGGAAAATCGGATAATCGAGAAATTCGAAAATTGCAAAATTGCAAAATTAAAAACTGGATAATAGAGGCATTGAAAAATCAAAAATTGAAAATTGAAAAATTGAATTAACAAAAAATCGTATATAAAATAGAGAAAATGAAAATTAAAAAAAAAAACTGGAAAAGGAGAATAAAAATCAAGATTTTGTAAAATTCAGGAACAACAATTTGGAAAATGAATAAATTATAGTATTGAAAAATTGCAGAATTGAAAAATTTGGACGTCGAGAAACTGAAAAATTGAAAAAATTAAAGCTAAGAAAAGACAAATTATAAAACCGAAAGATTGAAAAATTGCAAAATTGATAAATTAGAGAAAATGAAAAAACGAAAATTGTGATACCATAAAATTGTAAAATCAAAAAATTGAAAAATTGAAGATCGAGAAGATAAAAAAATATAAATTAAGAACTTGAAAAATTGAAGAGACGAAAAAAAATAAATAAACATTGAAAAATAAAAAAATGAGGAACTAAAAAATCGAAAATCTAATAAAAAAACGAAAAATTGTAAAATAGAAAAATTGCAAAATCGAAAAGTTGCAAATCGAAACAATGAAAAATCGAAGAAACGGGAAGAACGAAAAATTGTGATAACAAAAAATTGATCGAAGGTAAATAAATCCAGACTTTTCAAAAAATTGTAAGATTTGATTTTGTGAAATTATTTTTTATAAAACCCTTATATCTTAAGTTAAGGATATGTACAGGGTGTCAAAAAATGACGCAACAATTCAACAATACATGATTTAAATTCACGTGTAAGTTCGAGAAAAATCATTGAAAGTTTCTTTGCGTCAATTTGATGTGCATTTACAAAAACAAAATATCGATTTACACAAATAGATCAAAAAACCTGAAAATTTAGCTACCTTGGTCAGATTCATCTGAAACAATTTTAAAGTTTTTTGTAATGCTGTAAAATGAAGATATCTGTGAATAAAAACAAGATGCCTTCAAAATTATCTTGAATAATGAAAGTCCAATTGATTTCAAACACTCATCAGAAACCCGAGACTCTTTCAAGCTACTTCAAAAACAAAACATAAGGAATACCCGGAATTCTTTCAAATTACTTGAAAAACAAAACAATCGATCACCGAGATTTTTGAAAACTATGTACTTCAAAAACGAAAAAAAGAGGGTCCCCGAGATTCTTTCAAAGTACTTCAAAAACAATACACAGAAAGATCCCCGATATTCTTTCAAATTACTTCAAAGGCAAGACACCACCTATATATTTGAAAATAGTGTCAACTGTAATCCTAAATGCGTTCAATGAAAATACGTCAAATTTTTATTTCAACAATTCACAGCGTAACAACGTATGTTTAAATCTTACACCACCAGAGCATTGAGACACTCGGTATACAGGTGATTCAAAAATGGCGCACTAAATGGTACGTTAGTAAGTTCACAAGTGCAAGTTCGGGAAAACTCGTTAAACAATTTCTTACGTCAATTTGACGTTTACTTACAAAAACATATAAAACATGAATTTAGACAGATAGATTAAAAAAGGCCAAAAATTAGCCACTTCGGTCAGATAGATTCTCAATGATTTTTAAGTTTTTTGTAATATTATGAAATTAAGAAAAAATGCAATGGTGTCGATTAAAAAAAAGATGTTCAAGCCGAACATTTTTAAAATCTTTTCCGGAACTAATAAGCACGCTATATCTTTGTAATCTGCACTTCGAAATCTATACCTCAAATTTTTTTTGGAAAATTTTTCACAACTTTTTCAAAAGCAAAATTTTTCACCAACCTATGAAAATTTCGGTCTATTTTCGACCATCTTCGAAGCTTAATTAAAGAGATTTTCTTATAGATTTCGACATAAAAAAGTTAGTTTCGGCCGTGTTTCTTTGACAACTACTATAATTTCTGCAGAATCGTTCACTGAAACATTGTATTTTTTTGTATCAGAAAAAATTCAGACCGAAGATTTTTAAAATCTTGCCACCCTATATTTTTGAAATCTGCGCGTTGTAATCCATATTTCAGAGAATTTTCCCCTGGCCCTTAAACAGGCTGTATCTGTGCACGTCGACATCTATACCCTAAGAATGTTCTATGGAAGTTTTTGCAACGTTTTCAAACACAAAATTTTTCAATAGTATGAAAATTTAGTTTAATTTTCTAAACTTAACCAAAGACATTTTCTTATAGATTTCGACCTCTACGAGTTCATTTCGGCTTCATTTCGTCGATAGTCAAATATAAACCAAAAGAAAAATTAAAATTTAAACGCCTACGTCATCTATATTTGGGTTACAGGATGTTTTTTAAATTATTTTTTCATTGTTCAATACGAGTAAACAGTTCTTAACAACGTGTTATAGAGTTGGTGCGCTATTTTTCAATCATCCGAGTGATTTTAAAATGCGGCCACATATTTTAATACGTGATTTAAAAGTAAAAACAAAATTACCAGCCTTCTGTCAGACAAACTGGATTGAGGACAAACATAAAAACGTGTTTTGTTGGTCGATTGATAAACAGCTCAGCGATCAGTTTTAAAAAAGTTATTTTTCATTAGGTGACTGCTAAGCAACCGAATGAACAAACAAAAAGTGTTTTTTTGAACGACTGAACGAATAACACCGCGGTCCTGTTTTGTTTACTTTCACTTAGCGCACGCTATTCTAACATTTTCATATATTTATTTAATGCGAACCCGGGCACTGTTCTGGAAGTGTGGCAGCAACCTGGTCCTGGCGCCTCCACCATTTCTTCAAAACCTCAGTTTTTGCAATATTAACAATTTTTTATGAAATATTTCCGCAATCTCGCCTCTGCCATCACGCGTGATTTATTTTAAACTTCGATCTGTGTCACATCCCGCATCCCCTTTTCCATATAAGAAGTGAACTTTTTCCCCGTTGTGGAGGTCTGTTATTGACATTTCGACGCGAGAGTGCCCGGATCCTCTACAGATGCCCTTTATTCAGTCTAGTTTCCATATTTGATCCCGAATATAGGTAAACGCGCACGCCAGTCCAGCGTCTTCGGCTCCACACCCTTAAATTTATTGCAATCGTTTCGAATCCCATCACAAGTGGGCTACTCTCCCCCGTTCGAGAATTTTTTCCATTGAAATAACCGTTCGACCCGAAATGGATTTTTATCTGCTAAAGTAGCAAAATTATGGCCGCGACGAACAATGGAGGCGAAATTTGAATAATCGTACTTGATTGTGTTTGCTTAAAGCTGGTTAAATATGGCCGTTGTTAGTGAGGAGAGGATTTTGCGGATGAAACTAACCGGTAATAAACCGATCGTAGGACTGCGCATTTGGGTAAATGAACGTCTGCGAGCTTCTGGATTTGATTTGTGACCGGCGATGGGCCATTGAAAAGGAGATAAGTACGGATCTGGATGGATTGGGGTGGTTTTATGTTTTGTTCTTAAAATAGGGGGGGGACGGTATTTATCTGATAAAGAACTTCCTGTGCATTAGTCGTGAACTTTATGTAAAACTACGTAATTTACTTTGCTTGATTTCGTGTACTGATAAGGGGGTTGTGAGCCGGGGGAGTGTTATTACGTGTGTACAGTTTGTGTGGATTTATTTACTGTCAACGTGAATGGATTTTTATGGTGTTTTTTGGTTCTGTTTTATTTTTATTTCGTTGTTTTGTTTTATGTCTGTTTTATTCTTAACCCCTACTTTTGTTTCCTGTTGATCGTACGTTATGTGTGTGAATTAATTTTGCAATTGGCTAAAATAAACTCGAGCCTAATAAACTCTAAACACACGCTGGTCGAAGTTAATTAACTAGAACAATTTATTTACTCGCGTATTATAATTATGCATGTCAAAATGACATACTTTATCAGGCTGACCACTATAATTAATTTATCAAGTACAGAGAATCAACATGTAATTCATTAGTTAAAACAATTAAAAGGGACAAAATTCATCCCCAGAAGTTGAAATAGAGTAATCGAGTTCATCAGGCGACTTACCAGTTTCACATTTTCTCGACGTTTCATGATCCCTAGGGTAGGAAAAAGTGGTCTCTCGTTTCCGTTTGTCTGTCTGCCTCTGTCTCCATTTTTATTAGACAGATAATCTCCGAAACAGTCTATATTTCGGCGATTGTTTGAAAATTATAACAATGTACATAAGAAGTGTCATTGTGCTTCAAATTTTTACTGAGTGCGACCTCGGCTGATCACTGTTGTCTGTCTATCAGTGTATGAATGTGTGATTTTCAAGTGAAACAACAATCCATAACATACATCGTTTATTTTAAAAATTATAAAAACATTCAACGTTCATACAATATATACAAAACTGTACAATGGAATATACACTTTGAGCAAATAATATATAACATAATTGCACCTAAAACCTAAAAGGAGATACAAGAAAATAGCTACACAATTTGATTATCACAAAAAATTGCCAACAAACTAATAAAAAGAGTTAATAATATGTTAATTCTTGGTTGTTAACGAATCGTTAAAAGTCATCTAATCAGCGTCTACAAGCGCCCAATTATAAAATTCCGTTAATATAAGTTGCTCTCTATCGACTAGTCACCACAAAACCGACGTAGAATTAAGGTATACCATATGTTTTGAACGTATTTACAGCATCACAGATAAATTCAGCGACCAGCTTCGCAAAAAACCGCCCCTTTCCCATTCTCATCTCGGACAGAAGTTGAAATGCGGGAACAAGAAGCAGTGGAGCGACAGGAACCTGTAAAAATTTCGAACATTTAATAAAACGTCCCGTCATCGCTGTTAATAAGGGTCTGCAGTCGACGGCGAAGAACGAAAAAGACTGTCTTTTCAACGCTGATATTTAATTCGTGGGGGCGATAAATTCCCTCTAATTAAAGCCGACCGTTTCCTGTCCGACTAGATATTTACCTGTTCGTGTCGTATTTCGTATCGAATCCTTCGATCTTGACGACGTTCCATTCATCTTTGTTACGGGCGTAGCTGAACGAGATCTGCGAAAACGAAATTAATAAATTAATTGGTGTGAAACGGACAACAAGTAGTACACGCCGAGATAAGGAAAAAACGAAAAAATTCGTGACCCTCGGAAACTTGGATGGGAGTGGAGGAAACGGCTTATCGAAATTAAGATCAGTAATTAAGAAATACCGGACTAGTGGCATGGTTGGTCTTGTTTGTGTGTATAGTGAGTTTCAAAATTTTCAAGGCGACGACTTGTTGCTGCTTTAAAAATAAATTTAATATTAACTGGAAGCCCAAGATTGAGGTTGAAGCTTGAAAACAATGTATGAAGCAAAATATTAAAATAAAAGTGACAACTTTGGTCGATTAAACCTACGAATCTGTTTGTTATTCGCTTTAACGGATCTTTTGTACGAACTAGTTTACAATTGTTAGAATTACTTTTGTATGCAGCCTTAAGGTTCTTTTTCACAACACAATTCTACGCTTGAAAAGTTCGATAAAAGCACTGTTCGTAAAGAAATAATTTCTGGAGTGTCTGTTGAGTTGAGTCAAAGGAAATGTAATCACTGAAGGCGGCGTCAAGAAATTATAGTAATTGAAATATACAAAGAAGACACAAGAAAGTTGTAAAATGTGTTTCTAAGCAAGCCCCCGCATATATTAAAACCCACGAAAACCAAGAATATTACATAACTGAGTAGGCGTATGGAGGTAGCACTTCCCTTTACCCTCCGATTACACAAAAACTGAAAGGTCAAGATTAATGTCAAGGGTCTAAAAATAACAAAATTTTTAGACTTTACATTGAAAAAACTGATACAATATGAGTGGAAGCTTTCATTCTGAAACGCTTCAAGAGTTGCGATTAAATATAATCCAGTTTGCGATTAATATCGAGATTTTTTAACAGTGTAGGAGTTATTTTAAAATTGTAGTAGCTAAAATTTTATTTGATAGCAGCAAATTCTGGTTTCTATAACCACTAATTAAAAATTTTTCAATGCTCTGAAAGTTTGAAGAGGATTTCATTCGTAATCTTGGCTTTACCCAACCAAATACCGAAAACTACCAATAATTTATTAACGTCAACGCTTTTGAAGGGTTCAATACCGTGGAAGTTCTTATACTAAATTTTTTATTGAACCCACAAAAAGTTGACACTTTGTGATGGAAAGTAAAATTTTAAATCGAAGTGACGCAGTTCTCCGATAAATAAAAAAATAAATAAATAAATAAAAGCGGTTGCAATTTTCAAACGAAACATGCAACTAGTTTAAAATCAGAGCTTACACTCAAGTCTCGGAAACTGCCGTCAGCAGCGAAAAACAAATATAAATTATAAAATTCTAAAGAATAAATTTCATATTTCGTGCTAAAATATGCACGTAGCGTAATCTTCTGTAATTAAAAAAAAATAAACCGTTGCTCTCGGCAGTGTGGATATTAAACCATCAAAAATCAATACTAAGCGCTTAAACTCAATTGCAGTTTTAATGTTGGCAGTTTTATTCCACTGCAATATTTTAATAATGAAGTTCGCGAATTTCAGATTAAGATAAGTTTAAAGTTGCAGTAACTAAAGTCAGAAGTTCAAGATTGTTTTAAGTACTTGTGAGAGTTTACAAATGCAAATCAGACAATAAAAGGCCAATCAAATCTTATGAGATGACACTAGAAAACAACGAATTTCTAGTTTTTCAAGATATAAAATTTTACTATCTGGGGACTTTAACTTTTCCTTTCGGAAGTTTGTAGTTTAAAATGTTCACCGTAAATAGAAAAGTCGAAAAAATGCAACATCTAAGTATTTTAAAGATTGAAATGTTGTTTGGTGGAATTTTAACGTAAGAGCTCACAATTACAAATCCCGACTGCTTTAAAGTTTTAAGACCAAACAAAATTACTGTCTGTAATTTTCAACCAAGTCGTAACGCTACAGATTATGAAATTAAAGTAAAACGACTGTATAAACGTTGGCTTTAAACATTAATAGAAATCAGCACCAAGAATGGTAACTATTTAAAAATCTTGAATAGAATAAAAGTTAAATGCTAAGCTTGAAAAGCAGAACGCAACTTGTTATTCAAAACCCGAATACAACGATAAATAAATACGAAAACTTCCACTAATGTCATAAAGCGGAGTTTTCAAATAAAAAACAGAACCCAAAGTACGAATTTCGGAAATAATCTCACTGAAATTCTGCGATTAATAAATAATTCAAAGCTCCAAAGTTTAAAATTCAATATTAAATTTGATATGAGTACATAAAGCGACCGTTTTAGAATCTAAAATGCATGAAACTGCGGTCGAAAGTAAAATATCCAGATTAAAAAGAGCAAAATACTGAGATTCAAATTAAAATGTTAAATTGAATTATCACGGAAGCTCAACAATCTTTTATAACTGAAAAACACACAAAATAAAAATTACTTTGGAAGTAATCTTCTGGCTTCTCGTGGTTAATAATCTGAACGTCAGAATTTAAAAATATTACCTACGAATACAACAAAAATAAAATGTAAGTAGGTAGATGAATTCCATTTTAATTTTCTAATGAATGGTCAAAGACAAAAGCAGCTGTCGACTGACAGTTGAAGCGAAGTGTGCAACATTCTTCGTCAGGTTTTTTTCATGATTTGTTAAAAATTGGGAGCTAGCTCAGATTTCACGGTTAATCTACATGATGATTCTCGACAACTGACCCCAGAAGCGAGCTGTGGAAACGACCGACGTTTCACACTTCAATTTGAATCATTTTCATCTTTGATCGTGTCATTTTATTGCTCGAAACATGAATAAAAATTCTGATATACGGTCGATCGGACAAGCTTTCCAGATAAATAAAAAATCTTTGCTTTAAAAAATCGTTTCCGCTCAAAGCCATAATCATATTAAAATTCTGCGCACCTTCCCATGGTTTCTAATCCCGCATCGTGTCATTCGCACTCTACATCTTCTGCATTCGTAAGAGCCACAACCAAGACAAACAACTTCTCAAAATGAATCCGCCAAAGATCGAAATTTTTTGCCGCATACTATTAATTAATGCTGCAATGGCCCGCGGGAGTCCCGCCTAATTAGCTCGGATTATATTGGATTTTTATGGTTTTGGCGAGAGGAAACCATAAATTCGGCCCCCGGGTGGTTAGATTTTATTATGTTATGGGCATACCTGGTCTTCGAGAATCTCCCGCCTGATGAACTTCATCGGCTCGAGATGAGAGTGGAACTGGTCGACGACCGTCAACGGCTTCTTCAGCAGGTGCTCTGCAATAAATTCGTAGGCGTTGATTAGAATCGTGCATTTCCGTGAGATTTCTACATTAATTTTAATCTGTGGCTTGTGGCAGCCCACGGAAGGCCCAAGGACATTACAAATGCAAATATTTGCTTCCCGGTGTGAGGTGTTTACTGAGGAGGTTTACTTTATTCAGGTGATGACAAAGGAAATGCAGATAATTGATATCAGAAAGTATGTTTTGCAAGACGTCTTGTCAATGACTTCTTGTTAGTCCACAACTTTTGCATGTCGTATTCAAAAGTTATGGTTTCAACAGGACAGTGCTCCTGCGCATTATCTTCATTCCAGATTCCTGTGTACATTTTTCAAAAAGGCGTGCAAACAATTTAAAAAGTTACAAGCTTATTTTTATTTATTATCAAATACATTTATTCCGTCACCAACGCAAATCAACACATTTTTAAAATGTCAACGGATCCTACGCATCGGAAGCTACAACTATCGTTCCACTGAGAGAATATCATTCAGACGCTGAATTCTGGACCTTATAAAGCTTCCCAGACATTTGGAAGCCTTGTGTAAATCTTTTAATACCTTTACGGTCGCATGAGTCATATATCAGAATGTCTACATTTTATCTTACAAGATTGATAGCACAGCCAACATATGACACTCTCCCCTACTCAAACTGTGACCTTGCGACTTCAATAAGATCGTCACTAAGTAAACACCCGCTCAAAGCAAACATATTTGAATTTATGATAAGTACAAGCCGCTCTCCTTCAAATATTAAACATGTAAGAAGTCTATCGACTCCCCAACCACCTCGTCTTATTTTACTCACCAATGATATAGCCCATGGTTACGTCGTCCGGCAACCGTATTTTCTCTCCGGTGCTGATGAACTTGCCGCCACTGAAACAAGAAATAAATCATTATTAAAAGAAAAAAACCGTGTTATAAGTGATAAACGCGCATACAAAACAACCAGTTCTGTAATCCCCGGAGCTGCGGCGAGCAGTGGTGGAGGCGACCATCTTTGTCTCGAATTTCGAGGTCTTAATGCGATTAGGACGTTAAAGCCCATATTAAAGTTCACAACACGAATTTAAGGAACTGCGACTCTGGTTAATGTTTTAATACGCGCGGCCGTCTGGGGGCGGTTTAATTAATTTTAGAAACGTGACGGCGGAACGTCAAAAAAAGCTGAAAATGTACGACTTGGCGAGGTTGAGCGGCTTTCAGCGACAGTCGGTAAGGCAAGGGTTGTTGAGACTGTTGTAAGAAAATTCACCTTTTTCTAACCAAGATTAAAGTTTGATTTAAGCACCAAATGAAAATGTTATACTAAGATGATGAAGGGCTGCCCTCCAAAAGCAGCAGCGTCACGAAGCGAAGTGTTCTTTTTATGTAATTTATACATCGAAAGAATTCGACTATTAAGCACATTCTGCACATTCAAGTTTACGTACTTTCAGTTAATTCACCAACCCTATAGAAACTAGAATACGAGCCCTAAGTCGCGTGTTGCACTATCAAACAGTCTTCATCTCGATCAAACAAAGTAATTCCAGCGATTCAGTCTCAATTTTTCGGCGCATCAATCGTCTTATCTAATCCATTATCGGTCGAAGATCCCCAGCTCCCTCGCTCGATACGCCACTGATCAGCACATGTCGTGCCCGTTTCCGAGATAGAGAATCGGCAGGTGGCAGGTGGTGGTCGTGTGAGTCCATCATTATCTCGAAATTGCCACGGTCGATCGCTCCAATCCCGTCTGTCGAAGGAAGAAAAGAAGAAAAGGTCCGTCGGCTCGTTTTCATCCTCTGCACAGTCGGCCCACCGAAAAATTCGCGTCCGAACTATTCGACAAATTTTCGAGGAGGTGATCTCTTTAATTGACAAGTGATTAGATAAAGGACGGATCGCATTAATTCCTGCGGCGGTTGGATCTCTCGGAAAAAATTCTTAAAATGTCTTTAGATAAAAATTAATGAGGACCGAAAAATCCGGACCCAATTAAAAACGCGTGGGTCTTGGGTTGGCGCTGCGGAGAGGCGGAATTTTACATAAATTCGATTGCGTGTCATCGTGGAAATTGAGATGGAATATTTTATCAATCGGCCGGTGGGATTTTTTGTGGAATTAGCGCCATATGGTTTTCGGGGGAGATTTTTATCGAAGGAACGATACTAAATTCGTACTAAAATGGTATTGGTAATAATCCTCTTGGTAATCATAACTTATTCGGGAAATTAGCTTGAGAAGATAAGAATACTAAAATAGGTACCCGATATTGAGTTAGATTAATCTTGTTACTATTTCAAATTATGTATCGTCATCTATTATCTAATACAGTCATGCCTGCAGAGACTCATTTATTCGTTGCAGTATTTAAATCTACATTCTCCTGTCATTGAGAATATCCCTTGAATTCGTAATGTACTTACTACATGCATGATGTGTGATAGTTATGGAAGTTTTCAAATGTCATTTTTGGATGATTGATAGCGGTTTTTACATTTAACACGTCTTTAGGACCTGGTTTATAGAAACCGAAGTTAAAGTTAATTCGCGATTAACTTTTAATTGAGGTTCGTTGCTAGGCGACGTGCAGGTTTTAACCAATCACGAGCTACCATTCCACATTTTAATCCAGTGTTAAATTAATCGAGGATTAAATATTTAACTCGCGTTTCTATAAACCGGCCCTAGATCTTGTACACGACTTTTCAATTTTTTTACGTAAAATGTCACTGATAATTTAAATGGTAATCGTCAAATGTCGGGAACGTGATTAACTGAAAAACCACGCCTTATGAGTAAATATCTGGTTGACCGAGCTTCACTCGGCTCGTTTGGTAGTATTAGATCAGATTAGGACAGATAAATATGCGTATAGTATGCATTTTGAAGTACACGCGCTAGTTAAAAATACACATTAAAAAAGAAATTCCATAAGCAGTCTTTGTTTTAAATAGTGATGAGTGACATGTAGAGATTAAAGAATGGAAAACTGGAATTATTGCTTGACATTTTTATTAAAATCTCATTTGTTACCCAAGTTCTCTCTCTGTCGTTCTCTTTTTTTCCTAGTTCTCTCTCTCGACTCTAGAAAAAGGTCACAACCACTTTCTTACTGCCAGAATGGTTTCGCCTCTGGTGTGATTAACATACTGAGTTACCGTGCTCTTTTGCGTTATTTCTAATTTCTCAATCTCAACCCTGCTCCCGAAAATGCCACTTACGAAAGTGTGCGAAAAGTTGAGCCCAAAAACTGAAATAATACGGTCCCATCCCGGAAAACGATCACATATTGACCCTGACCGTCGAACCTCTGAAATGAATGCTTGACAACATAACCTTAACTCAACGCACTTTCGTCTGCCTTTTATCCGCTCACTGTTTAGTTTTCCGTAAATTTTGTCACCTCAGAGGGTGAATTTTAACGTCCTCTATACAGTGGAGTATGTTTCGGTACGTACAATTGAAGATAAAAAGGTACGTCAAACGTACTGTCAGACTGTCACCCAAACTTCTCTTATAAAACAATCTCGTGTTCGTGTAGTGTCATCCGATGTTACCTAGCAACGAATATAATTCACTGCCTGAAAATTGCTGAAAATGTATGAAGCTGTAATTTTCAGAAGTTAAAACTATGATGAATCGATTTCTTGACCCAAAAAACCCCCAACCTGTAAATTTCATCGAAATCGTTAGAGCCGTTTTCGAGAAACCCATTATATATATAGATATATATTTATATATATATATATTCATCTATCAGGCAGTTTCGCATAGGGTGCTCATGTGACAACAGCGCAATTCATGCCGTCTTGGTTTATATCTTAGCTACATCTCACCTGAAATGACAGTTTGGCCACTTGCTCAGTGATAGCAGCACGTAATTTTGCTAGCTTCGTTAAACACTGTTTTGACTAAATTGTAGAAAACTATGCATCATTGCAAGTGTTTACAGCCATTGTAGTTTGTAGAGGTCAGTCAAATTTTTATTTTTGTGTGAACAGTGTGGAATGGAACTTACTCGAAATCATAACAACACGATAAATAGATTTTTATCTACAATAATAAATATAAGTGAGTTTTCTAAATTGACAGTGGATATTGAGATATTATCAAGAAAGATTTGGTTTTCTCACCAGTTCAGTGCAAGTTTTATAAACGCGATGTTGTTAAACAAATGTTTTAATGTTTACTTGCTAAGGTTATACTTTCTAATTAGTAGGAAGAATTTACCATCCTTCAGCTTCCGCAGCAAATTCACTGGAGGAATACCAGTTAATAATCGAGACTGGGAGTGCTGCCAACATCTGAAACTGTGTTAGTACTTCTAAACCCTTGAAGAGAAAAATGGGCTGTAAAGACAGCATTTTCGGTTAAAACAAATTTCCTGTCCTTCAGATTCAATCGACAATTCACCAGGGGAATATCTCAACCAAAGTTGATTTTATCAAAAACTTTGAACCAGAAATAAAAAGTTGAGAGATGCTTTTAACCCTCTCTGTGAGAAACAGACAGTGAAGTTTTTCAATGTTAGTTAAGTTTTCTCAGTTGGTGGACTGACAAATAAATGTGTGGAAACTATTTGAAAAAATTAGATGAAAAAACAGTTTAAAATTTGTGTAAATGTAGAAGTTTGGTTGGAAACTATCTATAACAAACACATTTTCTGTTCATTATTTTTTGTAAATTGTACTCATTAAATGTGTTGTTAAACTTCCATATTTATAAAAATGTTTTTCTTACAATTCAGGAAATTTGGCACCTTCGTTATTTATGTAGTTTTTATAGTAAAAACATTTATTTATAACACATTTTGTATTTTTTTTTTAATTTTTTGTCTACTTTGAAACAAAATTATTATTTTATTTAGATGGAATCGCAGCATTAGAAAAAAGCGAAATCTTCCTGTGTGCCAAACTTCCCTCCTGTCAAGAGATGTTCGCGTAAATGCGCAAGTTCGGGAACCTTCTGAAAATATCAAAATATAATGTATTTTCAAAAAATTAAAAGGAATATGATTAGAGTCACTGATGTATAGGTTGTGCTTTAAGACTTTTTTTTATTTTTCTAATAAAGTTAATATAAATAGTCTGGAGCCGTATATTTTTGTAACCTCATCTCAAATACATATTGTGTAAAATTGTTTTTTTTTTTTTTGTATTTATTATAAATACATTTAGCATCATGTTTGCAAGATTTCGTCAGTTAGTAGAAGTTTAATGCAACTGAATAGTTTAGTGTGTGCCAAATTTCTTGATTGGTAAAAAAAATTTCTATAAAGAGGCAACATTGGCAACTCCCTAATAATGAAAAATTAAAATTGAATGAAGTGGATGATTACTAGGCTTTGTTACTTTCCGAACGTAAGTGAAGGAATCCATCGGGCGGCTTACCAGTTTCATGTTTTCTTTACGTTTCATGACCCCCCAGAGTACAAAAAAAATAGTCTACCGTTTCTGTCTGTCCGTCTGTATCGATTTTGATTAGACAGATAATCTCCTAAACTACTGGATCGATTGTTGTCAAATTTTGTTTGTATATTACGAATATCATGTAAATGGTAAAACGCGAACCAAAATTTGGTTAACCATCCCCACCAACAATTTGATGACGTCTGCTCATTATGCTGCATAGTCAACATTACCAGAATTGTATGAAATGATATACTCTTGTATTTGTGGTTTACAAATCTTGAATTTGTGTATGATTAAACTTTGACTTTTTTTTTTAATTTTAATGAAGTATACTGTTATAAATAGCTTTTAGATGTTTTTGTCAATAAGTATGTAATTTCTATTAAAGTTGATATAAATAAATTTTACGAGTATATTTTTGGAACCTCAAATGGTGTGTAAAATTTCTTTTAGTTTTTTATTATGCATTTATTCTAA